GGAGAACAATGAACAAAATGTCGCCTTTTCGCATGGCACCCAAAACAAAGATTGCAGAGAACTCAGAAGGTAGAGCAGCCGTAGGGTGTGGATAGGGAGGTGGAGGAGCCATTAAAATATAAGTCATCCACTATTTTGCGCAGTGTGCTGTTTTTGCCCCCCTTGTTAAAAAATCTGGCTACAACACTGTTTTTGGGTGTTTTTCTGACCATATTATTATGTGATTGAAATAGGAGATTTGGGGATATTTTTTGGGACAACAGAAATTGTTGCGGACACCCGATTTGATGCCTGGGTTGTCCGCAGGACAACCACATTTTTTTTCTTATTTTGAGCACTGCCTGGGCACTGATACTACACGGCCTACAATTGGCATCCATTCTCATTTCTGCCTACATTTCTACCAGGCAAGAGCCTGACAACATGCATAGAGGGAATGCCTAATAGTAATATGCTCAGCATTAATCCATCCCCGTTTCTGCCGAGCCGCTCATTATCACAATTAGCATAACCCAGTGCCGGTTCAACGTTATAATTAATATATATGTGTATTGTTAGCAGCCTCTGAGTGTCTTTTACGCAGCAGCCGATGCCAGCTAGTATCTACTGCGCTGTAGCTGTCCCTTACGTAATTACCAGTTGGTGAAGAACCAATTAAATACTTAAATACCTGTGATGTGGCTTCATTTACGTGTGCTCATCTTAGTGTTGTCAATCGCGTTTGTAATTTCGTAATCGATCACGCGTTGACCCAAGTAACGATGTCGATTACAATCGGTTATGGCGTCTTGCTGCGGTGTTGAATGCCTGCGTGTGCGTAACGTCGTTCGCATGTACGTGTGTGCATGTATGTGCTTGTTTAGCCCTGTTTACTGTTTGTTTTGCACTGTTACTACTGTGTGTTAATACATGTTACTGATTCTCATCACTTTGCCAAGTTGAGAGGAAAGGGGTGTAGTCTTGCAGCCCTCCACTGGTGGAGTTGACCCCTTAAAACACATACCCGGGGTGAAATTTATGTAGATTGGCTACTCCATGCTTTACCCGCGCTTCGAAAACATTAGGAAGACTCGCTCGGAGCAGAGTTATAATATTACCAAACCACTTGAGAAAGAAGTTAACAACCCGGACACTGTATTATATTGGCACCCTTACCTACGCTGACATGTTACGTTCAGGCAACGGGTCGGGTGTTAGAGGAGGCGAATGGGGTTGTGAAACACGTTACACTTATAGGGATTAGGTCTTGGAGCCAGGTCTTGTCTGCCTTCTCCTTTCGAGCTCTTGCTATAATTCCTCGTCGGGCGGCACCACAATGACGTTAGCTTGGTCGATGTGTGCGATCGCTTGTGGATTGCTTAAATTTTTGTAAGGGATGGGTCCCTGATTCATTTCATCGTTGTTTGGAATTAATGGGTGGACCGAAGAATATCTGTGTAGTCTGTGTAAAGTACAGAAACTGTAGATTACAGGAAAGTCTGGAGCACTAATGTGCGTGTGATGTGCGTTGTACGTGAGCGTACAATGTTCCTTGCAAGTTGCATTCAGACGACTGTTGTCATGGTTATTGTTTACAGTAACTGTAAGCAACCATGAAGCATTTCGTGTGTTAGTGTTATGTTGGATTATTATTGTAACGTTCTAGTATCGACGTACTAGTATCGCATGTGTTATATGCTCTGGTACTGTATTCATACTCGGATGATTTAATAGGATAGGTGCTCACCGTTCAGTAGTTTAATAATTAGTTAGAATTATGTAGATCGCTCTACAGTTTTTAATTCTGTGCAGAGTTTTTATGTATTATTTTGATGTATTGCGAATCCCAATGATAAGAGAGACACGTGATAGATGCCACCAATTGTGTATTTAAAAGGCGAGACGAGGCTTGCACAGCCAGAGAGGCATGATATTAATAATAACTTGGCACAATTTCATAGCAATGTTGCATAACCAGAAGCTTTCATTACATAGAATCAGGAGTGATAGAATCTTTCGAATTGGGTTTTTCAGAATATTGTTTATCCCTGCATATTTTGTTTCTCTGTTACGACTCTATTCTTAGAATTAAGTAAATATATATATATTTCAGAATTGGCTCTACAAGTTGTACCCCGGGCAGCGTTGGTTAACCAAGCTAATACAACCTACACAAACAAAAACTAACTACGCAAAAATAAACTAGGAGAAAAGGTGCGAGAAAATCGCGCTGTCTCTGTTTTTTTCTGCTATACTCTGACTGTTTTGTAGATTGTTGTATTATTATGTACAATTTAGGAAGATTTATATACTACTTTCCCAAATTGGATCTAAGTCCATATCTCAGACAGTTGAGCTAGGGGTTTGCATATATGACAAGAGTACCTGTAGGTCACTCAGGTGTGAGTGTGCGTGCGTGCGTGCATATAGAATACTTTATTTGGTACATAATACTGATATCTATCTCTTCATTTATTTGCAGGATGTTTTCTAGAAAGTGTTTTCAGTTGTGCAGAGAAGAAATCGCGTCTCGATACTCCTGACTCGCATGTGCGGCACGCGCTCGCTCGCTCGCACGCCACATTTGTACAGGATATCAGGACGGAGGGCTTTATGCGAGCGAGAGCAAATTTCCAGGCACCCGGTCTGTCGGCCGCGTACAACAGTGTGAGAGCTAGCTTGTAGCTGCTGACAGGTTGGTGTTGGAAACTCCCCTTTGCACGTTTCTCTCCTTACAAGTTACACACAACATCGTAGATGTGCGCTTCTCCCTTGTCCTTCGGATCGTGTTCTTCGCACGCCCCCTCGTTCGATGACGAGGTAGGTTGCATGACGCTTGTGTTTGACATTTTAGGAGATGCCATTCTTTGTAGGATGTGGTCCCGCCCGCTGGTTTCAGTTGGAGTGGCGGGGAGCCTCTGAGTGACTCGCTGTTAAAGACTGGTGAAGCCACGAAGCTCTAAGTGAACAAGTTTCAGTTTATTAGTTTTACATGCTAGCTGAGGTCGAGTCTGAAACACTCGGCATGCCACCCTAAAGGCTAAAGATTGTTTCAGGATCATAAGTGCGTGTGTGTAGCGTCCACTTGCCCTTTAAAACAAACCCCTCGACTTTCTGCAATGCAGTTGAACCGCCACTTTGCGTGTGTGTGCGTACATGTGTGCATGTGTGAGCACATTGAGCGTAGTTAACGTATATGAAAACCTAACAGGAAACAATTGGAGAGTAGAGGCTTAATGTCAATATATTGCAGCTGGCAGGAAAAGAGGAAGCTTAAATATTGCTTTTCGTTTAATAATGTACTGTTGTTCCTTTCTATCATGTATGAGGTTGCCTTAGCAGATTATATAACGCTGAAACATATCAAACTTCATATTTTCGGCTGTCAAAGCTATGTCGTTGACTTTTCAGTAAAGGGTCATTTCAGTTTGTAGAGTAAACCGCGTAAAGGCTGTAGTCCAGTGAAAAAAATACACGGGGGCTCGGGGCGATTTACCCCCCGGAAATTTGCATAGAGTTCAATGCAAACCAAATTTTAGAATGCTATTTTCATGCACACGAGCTTGAAAAGTAGCCCCCGAAAAATAATTTTTTTTTTTTTTCTTGCTGTAGTCCCATGTAATCACTCAAGCCAACATTGTATAGATACTACGGCAGTATATATTCCTATATAATTTACCGTATATTCACCCATAACCCCCTATATTTCACCAAAATACTTTAGTCGGCACACACCGACGTTCAGTCTAAAGCCAAAAGTTTTCTTATAAAATCTTCCTCCCCCATGTGACAGTGGCTGGTCATGTAGTGTAGTTGTTTCCAGTCCTAGCAGGACCTACCAACTCTAGTTGAGTTTAGTTACCAGCTGTAATTTGGTTGAACCTACAAAACCGAAGCCTCTCCATGGGTCGAAATCCTAAGAGGCCCGTGGGCCCGATGCCCGTATTTTAAGGCTAGGGCCTGCATTTCTAATACTAGCGAGCCCGACGGGCCAGTAGAAAATCTACCCCCAGCATGACAAAACCGTCCCCGGCCTGTAAAAATTGCCTGGCAGGCCTGTAAAATCCCTTACCTACTGGCTAATTTCTATCCCTGCTCTCCCTCGGAAGTGGCGCAAAGTGGCGCAAACGTCACCGTACGATTGTTGACTTTAGGTGTGGCATGGCGGGCGTTTTGTCTCGACGCCGCTAGGTGGCGTACGTGTACCTGCGGCCGCCGTCGCTGAATTGTGGCTCTCCGTTCGCAGAGGAAGCCTCGCGTAGCGACGGAGCTAACTACAGAAGGAAGCCAGGTAGAAGACATGTTGGGTGACAAGCAGGAGGAGGTGGAGCCCCTCGACTCGGCCGTGATGGGCAAGGAAGTGTTTCGCTGGGAGGAGGCGTCCATTCTCGGAAAGACGATGAGTAGCCTCAACACTCTGCGCAAGAACAAGCAATTCTGCGACGTCATACTAGAGGTAGGCGCAGGGATAGAAATTAACATGTGAACAAGGGAGTCCAACGGACTCCCTGCCTTCAAAAAGAGGAAGTCCGCAGTCTGAAGTTCAAAATTAACGATAGTAACAATAACGCATGTGCTTATTTGGAAGATTCATGCGGTTGCACGTCTGCCAAATTTTCTTTGGACATTTGCTGAAAAAATACGGTCATTCCGCGAGGCCGTGCTCTGGAACGAACTAGTTAGTATAACAGAATTTTCAGGGAGTCACATGGACTCCTGCATATGTCAAATCAGGGAGTCCGACACTAAATCAGGGAGTATTTGACTCCGCACTCGTATATATAATTTTTAATAATAAAATAATATATTTGATACTTGATACTAAATACAGTGTAGCCCCTTTATAACGCGATGGTTGGGGTCCATAAAGTGTCATCGCGAAAAAAGCGGGGTCGCACTAAATCGGGGCTATAATATAAGAGCAAAAAAGGGAGTCAACGGCTCGCGAATTCGCGTAAAATCGGGGCGCGTAAAATCGTGGTTTCACTGTACATTGAAACACGTGGCAAAAAGCGCTCATGCCAGACTACCGTCACTGGCAAGAGTATCGACGAATTACCAAGGTTTGCCCGCTAAACCTGCGTGTTCGCTTGTTTGTAGGTGGGCACGCATGAGCTGCACGCTCATCGGGCAGTGCTGGCCTGCTGCAGCCGCTATTTCTTTGATCTGTTTGACGACGACGACAAGGAGAAGGTTTACGACAAGCACTACATGCTGCAGAACTTCAACTATCCGGCATTTGAGAAGCTTGTCAACTATGCATACACGGCTAGGTGAGCCACGCAGACGCGCGCCGCGCCGCATACGTGCTGCCACCTGTCATACCGCGGTGTAAACGCGCCGCATACGTGCTGCCACATGTCACACCGCGGTGTAAACACGCCGCATACGTGCTGCCACCTGTCACACCGCGGTGTAAACGCGCCACACACGTGCTGCCACCTGTCACACCGCGGTGTAAACGCGCCGCATACGTGCTGCCACCTGTCACACCGCGGTGTAAACGCCACACGTGCTGCCACCTGTCACACCGCGGTGTAAACGGGCCGCACACGTGCTGCCACCTGTCACACCGCGGTGTAAACACGCCCGCACAGCGTCGCTGCAACCCTGTCCAACCCGCCGGTAAACAGCCACACGGCTGCACACTAGTCACACCGCGTGATCAACACCGCAACGTGCTGCACCTGTCCAACATCCGCGTAGAGACACGACCGCACACTTCTGCCACCTGCACAACCACTGCCGTGTAAACACCGCATCCCAGCACTCCACGTGCTGCACCTATCAGCATCCCGCCGCGGTGTAAACACCGACCAGCATACCGTCCTTGACCCACCATGTCACACCGGCAGTGTAAACGGGCCGCACACGTGCTGCCACCTGTCACACCGCGGTGTAAACGCGCCGCACATGTGCTGCCACCTGTCACACCGCGGTGTAAACGCGCCGCACACATGCTGCCACCTGTCACACCGCGGTGTAAACGCCACACGTGCTGCCACCTGTCCCACCGCGGTGTAAACTCGCCGCACACGTGCTGCCACCTGTCACACCGCGGTGTAAACGCACCGCTCACGTGCTGCCACCTGTCACACCGCGGTGTAAACGCACTGCCAACTGTCTCTCGTGCTGGGGAAATGAGCTGCCACTTGTTTTGTTTTACTGGGGGAAGAAGTGCTGCCACCTATGCTGCCAACTGTCTTATGCACCAGTCAATTGAAACCCCGGCCCCGCGACAGGGCGGGGAATTAACGCTGCCACAGCCGGGATCTAACGCGCATGTAACGACATAGTAGCCTCGGGGTGGCCGGGAAATTAACAAGACGTTTTACCAGCGGGGCCATTTAGCCGTGATTTAACAATGAAGAGCTCGCACTGGAAGTGGGGGACTCGGAGTTACAAAGTCTGCAGTATTTTACCAATCGATATGTTTATTTGCAAAAAGGTGTCACATGACAGAAATTCACATAAATAAATACTTGGGCTTTACGGACCAGAATTTAGTTTTGTTTGGGATCTGAGAAATGTTCCCCGGTTATAGGGGCTTTTAACAGACTGCCTGCCCCTTATGGGTAGAGAAATTGCTGTTTTTAACACTAAGGAAGCATTAAATTCCCCGCCTTTTCCTGCGGGTCGTGGGGGGGGGCGGAGTTTCAATTGACTGGTGCATTATGCATGCTGAAAAGCTGCAGCAGCCGCATAAGCAGCAGTACTGTCGCAACAAGCAGTCAATTCTCTGCTGTCTGATCGTAATTTTCGTTAATGGCATTTCTCTGCGATAAAAGAAATATATTATTCATAATTATTACTTGTCAGAAAATTATGTAATTTGTTTAGATTGTGTGTTATTCACATGAGTTGTGCAGTTAATAATTAACTAGAGTGTCTACTGCCATCCTTTGTGTGGTTAGTCTGTCAGATCAGTTAATGAATATCTATATGCTGTAACCTTGCCACCATGATATCACTTTGTGACATTTTCACAGTAAAACTATCCTCACGCGTGTGATGTCTAAACAAGATTATTCGACTCGGATGTTAAGTCGAGTAAAAGCTGTTACTATTGAATGCATTTTAGCAGTGAAGGGCTGATGGCTGCAGGTAAGTTAAGGGACTAGAACAGGTGAAAAAAACCTAAGAAAATCTCCATCTTTTCTTACCTGTTCAGGTAAGTTGAGGGACCAGAACATGTGGGAAAAAAACTAGAAAATCTCTAATTCTCTATCTTTTCTTATCTTTTCTGGTAAGTTGAGGAACAAGAATGTGAAAAAAAACTAGAAAATCTCCATCTTTTCTTACCCATTCTGGTTAATTCCCCCCCACTTCACCTGCGTCCACCAATACTTCAGGCCATGATAAAAATATTGTTTGTTTGCCCTCACCCGACCGACCCGCCAAAAAGCGGCCAACTCAAAATTGATCTCCCATTCTTTTTTTTCTTTTTTTCTTTTTTTACAAATTGTATCACTGTATATTATATAAATCTGTAGGCAATACATTATATGTACCAAGCAAACCAAACATTCTACATAAAAGGTATCTCCACACAAGCACACCCGAGCATGTAGACACCATGCTGAATTTGTAAAAAGACCTCCCCCTCAAAATTAAGCCTACCTACCTACCCAAACTTCAGCCTGGGTCAGGTGAGGGCAAACAAATTTTTTTTTAATTATGGCCTCCCCGCTAGATGCCGGAGGGATGTCTTTAGCATTGCTTCGTCTCCACAGGTTGGAGGTACCAGCGGAGGACGTGAAGTCTGTCTACAAGGTCGCACGGAAGCTGAAGATGAAGCCAGCTGCTGCCGCGCTATCGTCCTTCCTCGCTTCGCACATCGACCCGGAGAACTGCATAGGTGAGTGGCAGGGGTAGAAATTAACTTTTGAACAAGGGCGTCCGTTGGACTCCCTGCCCTCAAAAAGAGGGAGTCCGCAGCAAAATGAGGAGAGTCCGTAGTCTAAATTCAAAATTAAAGATATTTACAATAACGCATGTGCTTATTTTGAAGATTTATGTCTGCCAAATTTTCTTTGGAGATTTGCTGAAAAAATATTGTAATTCCGCGAGGCCATGCTCTGGAACGAACTACTACTAGTTAGTATAGCAGAATTTCTAGGGAGTCGCACGGACTCCTGCATATGTCAAATCAGGGAGTCCGACAGTAAATCAGGGAGTCCGACAGTAAATCAGGAAGTCCGACAGTAAATCAGGGAGTCCGACAGTAAATCAGGGAGTATTTGACTTCGGACTCCCGTTAATTTCGCACCCTGGAGTGGTGAAGTCAGACAGCAGCCAGGGTACCCTGTGTGCGTGCCCCTGAACACTTGTACCGCACTGGGGGTTTATAAAGGTCGAGCCTCAAAAAAGTCCCGGAACATAAGCTCCAGTTGGAATTCTTAGGGAATAGCATATATTCTCGGGAAGCTTTGTGAAATTATTATGAGAAAAATATGTAGCTATTATGACATTTGGTCCTAGAGAGTCCTTGTTATTGAGCACGGTTATCTTACAAGAGTTTGTTCGTTATTCGCTGATATTCATACAGTAAGGGGGCACAGAGATTGCATTTGCGTAAAATCACATGAAAAATAGACATTTTAACTCGTGGAAAAATGGAAACTCTTGGGGAAAAAGTTTTGCCTCAAGGGTGTATGGGTAGTTCGTTCTAGACACCGGTTGATCACCACGATAGTAGCATTGAAGACTAGTTAGAAGTATTTGTGCCCGACTGCAGGCACTGACTACTCTTATAAGGTTGGTGATGTCAATGAAAGTAGTCAGGCCAGAGACCAAACCAGGGAGTCTGCTCTGTTCTATACGGACACAGATTATGAGAGCCTGAGTGAGTGGGATCACAAGTATGACAGTGTGCGTGAGAGAGAGCGAGAGATAGAGAGAGAGAGAGAGAGAGAGAGATAGATAGATAGCGAGAGAGAGACAGTGAGAGAGGAGAGAGCGAGAGAGAGAGAGAGAGAGAGAGAGAGAGAGAGAGAGAGAGAGAGAGAGAGAGAGAGAGAGAGAGAGAGAGAGAGAGAGAGAGAGAGAGAGAGAGAGAGAGAGAGAGAGAGAGAGAGAGAGAGAGAGAGAGAGAGAGAGAGAGAGAGAGAGAGAGAGAGAGAGAGAGAGAGAGAGAGAGAGCGAGAGAGCGAGAGAGCGAGAGCGAGAGAGAGAGAGAGTGAAAGCACAATATCCGTATTAATGCGACATAAGTAAACATCATACTCACAGCTGTCCGTGTTTCCAGCAGCTGACTGGCTACTTAACTAATCAGGGGGACTATCTGGGATCTTTCGCTGGCATTGGCATTCTAGGTCAGCATGAGTAAACCGGCCAATGGGCTAACTGATCGTCCGCTATGTCAAGTGGCCGCTCTAATTCGTAATGTAGGCTACAGAGGAGTAACGTCATAGATAATCAAGCGCTGTCAATGAAATCAAGTGGAAATAATGAGCGCATATATATACCGAATAACCGTGACTCTGAGGAAGTACTGGTCCTGGTCAGTAGGCACTGGTCCAGGATTTCTGTCATAGCAAAGTGAATGACTCGGATGTGGGGACGTTTTTATAGGGGGGGATGGTGCAATTTGGTGATGTGCATTCTAAGGTATTCTTAAAAATTATATTTTTTACTCGTTTCGATACACTGATGCGTAGTAAATCGGAACAAGTCCGCAAGTCGGTTTCAAAGATCAGCGGTCTCTGAAGACCGTCCATTATGCCTATAAATTATCATATTTTATTACGCGATTGCTGATTGGTCGGGATGCCCAGTATTATCGAATTAGCAGAGGTTTAACAGCATGACCTAGAAAATCGAACACAACATTCGCACAAAAGGTTGAAAGCTTGTTTCCTCGCTCACATACGTCCGACATACGTCACAGTTTCGACTGTACAAAATTGAATTAATTTTGTTTTTAATAGGGTTAGGGTTATTTTTTAGAGTTAGGGTTAAGGTTAGGGTTAGGGTTAGGGTTAGGGTTAGGGTCATAATGCACCTTAAAACAGGAGTTTGAGTCCGTACGGACGTGACGTCACTTGAGCGACGAAGCAAGCTTTCAACCTCTTGCGTACTTCGCATGGACTTTAGGCTTCAGAATTTGACTTATTTTTTCTATATTTGATTAAATTTACCATTCATTTCATTAGAATAATGTAGAAGGTTAGTAGAGAATAACAAAATAATCTGACAGTTTGGTAAATTTTTTATTTCCTGTGCGGCGATTATCTAGTCGCCCCGCCGGACCAGCTGACACGAGCAAGCAGTTGCCCGGTCGATTTTCTAATCGTTACTGGCGACTGGGCGACCGCTAGTTTATGCACGGCTGCTCTCGTCTAGCTTTTCCTTCACTCTCTCTCTTTCTCTCTCTCTCTGCTCTGTCTGCTCTCTTCTGCTTCTCTCTCTCGTCTGCTCTGCTCTTGCTCTCTCTCTCTCTCTCATCTTTCTCTCTGCTCTCTCTCTGCTCTCTCTGCTCTCTCTTCTTCTCTCTCTCTTCTCTCTCTCTCTTCTCTCTCTCTGCTTCTCTCTACTCTCTCTCTCTGCGTCTCTCTTCTGGCTGCTCTCTCTCTCTCTCTCTCTCTCTCTCTCTCTCTCTGCTTCTCTCTTTTCTCCTTCTCTCTCTCTCTCTCTCTGATGCTCTCTCTCTCTTTTCTCTCTCTTCTCTGCGCTCTGCTCTCTGTCTCTCTCTCTCTTCTGTCTCTCTCTCTCTCTCTCTCTCTCGCTCTCTCTCGCTTTCTCTCTTTCTCACTCTCTCTCTCCCTTGTTCGCTCTCCTCTCTCTCTCTCCTTCTCTTTCTTTCTTTCTTTTTTCTCTCTCTCTCTCTCGCTCAGATAGCATTTCAGAGTTAGCCACTACAGGTAGCATTTTAGAGTTAGCCACTACAGATAGCATTTCAGAGTTAGCCACTACAGGTAGCATTTCAGAGTAGCCACTACAGATATCATAGCATTTCAGAGTTAGCCACTACAGGTAGCATTTTAGAGTTAGCCACTACAGTTAGCATTTCAGAGTTAGCCACCAGGTAGCATTTCAGAGTTAGCCACTACAGTTAGCATTTCAGAGTTAGCCACTACATATAGCATTTCAGAGTTAGCCACTACAGGTAGGATTTCAGAGTTAGCCACTACAGGTAACATTTTAGAGTTAGCCACTACAGATAGCATTTCAGAGTTAGCCACTACAGGTAGCATTTCAGAGTAGCCACTACAGGTAGCATTTCAGAGTTAGCCACTACAGATAGCATTTCAGAGTTAGCCACTACAGGTAACATTTTAGAGTTAGCCACTACAGATAGCATTTCAGAGTTAGCCACTACAGGTAGCATTTCAGAGTAGCCACTACAGGTAGCATTTCAGAGTTAGCCACTACAGATAGCATTTCAGAGTTAGCCACTACAGATAGCATTTCAGAGTTAGCCACTACAGGTAGCATTTCAGAGTTAGCCACTACAGATAGCATTTCAGAGTAGCCACTACAGATAGCATTTCAGAGTAGCCACTACAGATAGCATTTCAGAGTAGCCACTACAGATAGCATTTCAGAGTAGCCACTACAGATATCATAGCATTTCAGAGTTAGCCACTACAGGTAGCATTTCAGAGTAGCCACTACAGATAACATTTCAGAGTAGCCACTACAGGTAGCATTTCAGAGTAGCCACTACAGATAGCATTTCAGAGTTAGCCACTACAGGTAACATTTTACTACAGGTAACATTTTAGAGTTAGCCACCAGGTAGCATTTCCTCATTAGCTACCAGGTAGTCTTTCTTTGTTAGCCAGCAGGTAGCTTTTCTTCGTTAGCCACCAGGTAGCATTTTCTCATTAGCCATCACAGGTAGCATTTCAGTGTTACTCACTGCAGTTGTTGCTGCTTCCTAGAGGTGTAGTGAACTAGTGAGCTTGCGGCCAGTAGCATCGACGCGGCAGGTTAGGCTAGAGTTATCACATTCTCCGCCCTTCCTAATAGGTTTTAAGATGTGCATATCGGCCTATTTTCCTTATAGAGATAACGACAGCACTACAGTGTGAACAGTCGTGGCAATCCTCGTGGAAAATAATTTCAAAACAGAGAAATGCACTCGTCGGCGCGGGCATCATGTTACTACTGCTGCTAAACGTAGAAGAGATGATGGGTTCCCTGAATACAAAAATAGCGCTGATCGATGCATACGCTCCGACTAGACGAAACAACACAAACAGAAATAGGTGACGGTGAACTTTGGAGTTGTACTTCATGTTTCGTTAGGTTCGTTCGTTAGGTTTTCGCCGCTGCTGCGTCCTTGCCTGTAATTGCTTTCTCCGCGGATGCTAATTCCCCCATTGAAGAATGTTTATGAGGCGTGTGATTTCGCTAGCTAGGCCCTCTCCTCCACATCGTCAGCATCCCCCTCCCCCACCCCGCATCCCTGCGCTCACCTCGTCAGCATCCCTGCGCTCACCTCGTCAGCATCCCCCCGCATCCCTGCGCTCACCTCGTCAGCATCCCTGCGCTCACCTCGTCAGCATCCCCCCGCATCCCTGCGCTCACCTCNCATCCCTACGCTCACCTCGTCAGCATTCCCGCGCTCACCTCGTCAGCATCCCCCCGCATCCCCATCCCTGCGCTCACCTCGTCAGCATCCCCACTCTCACCTCATCAGCAAAGGTCTGCTGCCCGTGCGTCGTGATTGAGGTGCACAATGGCGCAGTGAGATTGCTCAGTCAGTCTGGCACAGGTGCAGCCCTGATTACCAGTTAATAACCCGACCGTCCTCTCACGGCCTTCCTCCCCCCACCCCTGCTCACTCACACTGTAGACGAATCCCTGTAGAACTGCACCTGTCTTTGCGTTTTCCTAGTCTTTTGCGAGATTTTATGGTAAGGGGCGCGTGTTTTATTCTGCCACGGGGAGTTCTTTTTGGCGGGTTTATGGAACTTTGGGGGGAGTTGTCCTACTTCAGTAGCGATGCGCTGCCGTAGCATTTCCTTTCCATCGTCATCTCGCGGTGGATAGAACATTGGCTTCTTATGCAGTCAATAATTCCCGGGGGTTTATAGTAAGTACGGCAGCCGCCGCCTGTAGTGTAACGGTGTATCAACCTATCAGACACGCTGTGCATACTACTAAACTGTGACATCTATACAGAGATGCCAACCACTACGATTTATCCGTATTTTATAC